TACATAATGAAAAATTAATGAAATATTCCATAAAATAATATTTCATTTATCTGACGAATACTTCCGATATGCAATTTTGAAAATTCATTTTTTTTCTAGGTAATGATTTACTTTTACTTTCCAGGCTGTTATAACAGAAGGAAAGAATGGCAATTGTCCTCAAGATTTTTACATTTTTGGATTAGGACACCTTGAAACGTCGACAAATTCAAAATTGCAAAAGAATTCGGGGGTAATTTCTGTTTGTATGTATGTTAGTGTGGGGGGTTTACAATTTTGTTTACCCTCTTTGAAGCTGAATAACTCCTGTGATTTTGGTCGAAAATATCTGAACTTTTGCAGGGAGGTTTGCGTATAAGGAGGAGTGATGCCATTGAATTTTGGTGATTAAATATCGAGGGGATGGAGAGATGATGGGGGTCGTGTGTATTTCAAGTAGTGTCGGACTCAATGACGATTTTACTCATTAGCATTTACAATTTTTTATAAAATTTATTCCTAACCTGAAAATTAAGCTTTTTGCCATTTTATAATAATTAAAAATCTAAAATTTAAAAAAATAAAATAAAATATCATTACAAATGACATCGCCAAATGTTACCGGGAAAGTTAAGCAACTCGTTGCTGGATTTTTTAACAGAAATTATTAGGCTAAATGTAACAAGTATTGAATAAGCTACACAGCATAAAACCAATTCTATATTATTTTATTTTAGTATTGTTAATTTATAATAATATGTTTTATATATATATAAATCGTTAAATTTTATTTTTTAAAATTATTTACAATAACCACAGACTGTAATAGCTGTAAAGCAAAATAAAAAATAGATTGGATAGAAGAATAACGCCGTGTTAATGGACTACAAGAGTTTTTTTTTATGTTAACACAAATGGGAATTTAAAAGTTATGTACGTTGCAAACAGATGTTACTATAGTAACATTAGTTTTACTTAAATATCTCACGTATTGCTCATTAGAGAAATTGATGACAGGTATTGCATTTCATGCATTTATTCTTTGAAGAAATTGCAATCCGACTAGGCAAGAAATGAATTTATTTTACTTTATACTAATTGGGAAATGCATTGTGATTATTTCAGGTAAGCAGTTTTTTTTTATAAATTATATAAAATATACAGTAAACATTTTTCATGTTTTATTGCATTATTCTTACATAAGTACTGTACAATATTAAAAACATTACTAAATTTTCAGATTAATTTATAACTAGATGTGTATTTTATTGTTTCTTTCTAATTAAAAAAAAAACTTAATGTTGTATTTCGATTAATGGTATAAATACATCCTTTGAACGAACCGATTTTAATTACAGTAAAACCTGTCTATGGAGACCACCCACGGTTCCTTCAAAAAGTGGTCTTTTAGACAGGTGGTCGTCCAATACAGGTGGTGCACTAGAGAATCAATGCCAAGTGTTCTGATTACCCTGAATAAGTTAACATTTCAGACAATAATTACGAATATTATAAAATGCATTTAAAATAAACTAGCCGGAACAAGTAAAACGTTCAGTTTGATCAAAATATGTTTTGGCAAGTAATTCTAAGTCCGGTGGTTGAAGAAAAAAGATAAGGGAGCTCTTAGTGGTGCGTTACCTATAGGCAAAAAGGAAAATTGCTTACA